ATTCTGTTATATTTGTGGCAAATTTGTTGTAAATTTTGATCTAAGTAAGAGTTGTTTTTTCTTCCCGACTTTGTATTAATACTATTTTCGAAATCTGAATTATGGAAAATCCGTTATTAAAACCAAAAAGAAAAACTTTTATGAAGTTTAAACTCGCGGGCCCGTGTAATCATTGTGTTTACGAATCGCTGATTGTTAATTTACTAACATAAAGTAAATTATCTACAATAGTTTGACTGTCCTCACCTTAGACGTCCTTTCTCGTGTAAAAGTATATAAAAAATATTTTTTTGGACACCCAAATTTTCACCTGTAGGATCAAATGATATCGTAATAACGAAGCATACACTCACAAACACACACGCGCACGCGCACTGAATACGAACTTCCGAACATTGTAAACGGATATGTTTTAACTGTTTGTTTGTTGTTAAGCGCAAAGCTACGCAATGGGCTATCTGTGCTATGCCCACTGCGGGTATCGAAGCCCAATTTTTAGCGTTATAAGCCCATTGCCTCACCGTTTAGCCACTAGACATATTTAAATTATTTTGGCCTTAGGTCGTAAGACTCTTAAAAATAAAAAAATATGTAATTGGTTCAGAACAAGATCTATCTTACATCGAACTGGCCATAAGACACTGACAGTTCAATCTCAGTAAGTAAATGTCTTATCTTCTCCCTCTAAGTACGTTGATGCGAGAGAAATTAGGTCATTGCTGTTGTTTAGGAATGTAGAAGAACTTATCAATTTTAATCGACGTCACTGTTGCTCTTCGGGGTTCTGTCCTTCCGCTACCGAAGTGCTCTTCTTCCAACAAGCAGAGAACCCTTCGGCCACGGTATCACTGTGGCAGCTCGAGGCAGATGAAAGTTGTGTCTCCGCCTTCTTGGTGGGCTGGACACTGAGCAATCGGACATCACGTGCACCGTGGAGGGACGACTCAAACTTAGAGTGGGGATCGTTAAGTGGTTCAGTTAAACATTCCATTTCACTCATCTCGTCGATACTAGCGTGTTTACGTTGCTAACAAGGCTTACTTACAAAGACATTCTTGGCGGAACTTTCTGATTCAAACACTAGGCCTTAGAGTTACTTATATCTGGGTTGTTGTTTTCTATCCGAGATCACGGCCTGTAAGTTATTGCTATGAATCAAACCCGAGTGTCTGCGATTAATTCGTTCTCGATTTCCAGCATCCTGACTGGTCCTGGAGCGTCCACGATTTCTAACTCCGTTGTTCGTGACTTTTCCGGTTTCGATTCGGAAGAAAACAAATTAGAGAACATTCTCCAGCGGAGGAGAACCCCTGAACAGCCCGAACCACCCGCAAGTCAGCACCCGCTACTCGCGGCTGACCCACGAAGCCACGAGAGTCACCCTTCGACGTTGCCAGTGGTCCGATTTGGACAGAACAGTGTCTTGAGAGCCCCTGGACAACAGCACTCGGCAAAAAGGTCGAGATACGTTGCTCACCATCTGGACCAAGGCACCTCCGATTCTCCGGCTAGTCCCGCAGTAAACCACCCGGAAACCGAACAAGGTGATAGTGTAGAGACTAGTAGTGTATTGCTCGGGGACGAGAGGGAAAGAGAGAATGATCATCCCAAAAGTGACGTTAACGAAGAGTCTTTGGGTAAGTTTATGATCTTATTGTTATCTGAATATATATATATAATGCCATACAGCAAACATAAATGACAACAGTTTTTTCTACCTTTAAACGTCTGGACCAGATCATATGAGTAACGTTCTTCCACATCTGTAAGCATTAAGTTAACAATCAAAACAGCTTTCTCCAAATGATAGCACAATAATCAAGATGTCGGATTTTAATCTTGTTTACAAGTCTTAATTCAACTTTCCTTGCAATAAGTGCAAACCTGAACTGGTCGTGAAAATGAAGTTCAAGTTTTTGGACATGCGTAGCGAGCATGGCAAATATTGACAGGTTTTCTTCATTTCAGTCACAGTTTGTAAAACTCGGTAACTCTCGAAGGAAAGTGATCCAGCTGTCTGAGTTTACATCCTTTTACATCCTGTCAATACTCCGTTATTTCTTAGCTCCAAGACAAAAAGTATAGGGTCTGAAGAGACACCACGGGAGGGAGTATCTGGGTATTGATCACATACTTATAGTGATTAATGGCCGTCTTTGTAATTTATATTGATTGATTGCTTTGAAAACCAGAAGACTACTGAAGAGTATATAAGACTGCAGGAGTCTAACATGTACAAACACACATATATATATATGTATTCATTGGTAAACTGGATAATAGAGTGGAAAACATTAAAAGACAAAATATATGGTATTCGTATAACACTTAAATGGAGATAAGTCAAAGATACGGCCACTGTATAGCAGAAAGATAGATGTGACATAGAAAGGAATCCAAAGATACGACCTTCGTGTTATAGAAGGATATAAATAAGTAACAGACATAGCATTCCTATGACAGAAAGTCATAAACAAATCATAGAAATTAAGCCTAAATATTATAGAAAAGTATAAATAAATGACAGAAGTTAAGCCTTAATACTACAGAAAGATATAAATGACACAAATTAGGCATTGATATTACAGAAAAGTATAAATGATAGAAAATAGGCCTTAATACTACATAAAATTATGAATAAATTACAGAGATTGGGCCTTTGTATTACAGAAATGCATAAATAAATCCCAAACTTACAACATTCATAAATAAAGGACAGAAATAAACCTTAATATAACAGAAAAGTTTAAATGCAGGACAGAAATTAAGCCTTAATATCACAGAAAGCTCTAACTGACAGAGATTAGGCCTTAATATTGCAGAGAGGTATAAATAAAGAACATAAATTAAGCCTTAATATTACAGAGAAATATAAATAAATGGCAGAGATTAGGCCTTTGTATTACAGAAAGGCACAAATACATCACAAATTTACAAGATTCATATAAGAAAGACATAAATAAAGGACAGAAATTAAGCCTTAATATCACAGAGAAGTGTAAATTAAGGACAGAGGTACTGACTTTTTTATCGTTATTGCAAAAACATATAAAAAATTCACTGAATCACTGGCTTTCTATTACAGAAACCTTGAAGTAAATCAGGTTTCTAAAAAAGTAAATAAATAAACCACATGGATTACAGAAAGATATAAAAAAGAACCACAGATAGATCCTTACTTTACATGAGAAGATACATATATGATTTAACATTGCAGCAAGGTATGAATAATAAAAAACAAAAAACAGAGATACGATCTGTATCTTAGTGAACAGTGTTAAATAAATCACAGTCTTGGTAATGTAGAAAGTTGTGAATACTGAGAACCTAGATGTTTACTTTAAAAAGCCTTGTTTAATATCTAAGTGTACAAAGAAATATCATTGAAAACACCAGTGACTTTGAACGCAAATATATATATATATAATGTATAAATTCTGTTTTAAACAGAAGACAATACATGTAATGTAAGTTCACTCTTTCTCCGTAGTATCTGCTATACAGATAGCCCATTCTACAGCAGTAATAATAATAATATATATATATTATATATGTATATAATGTAAGACCTCAGGACCCAGGTAACCCATTCTACAGCAGAAATAATAAATATATATTTGTATGTATATAATGTCAGATCCTAGGACCCAGGTAACCCATTGTACAGCAGTAATAATAAATATATACTTATATGTATATAATGTCAGACCCCAAGGACCCAGGTAACCCATTGTACAGCAGTAATAATAAATATATACTTATATGTATATAATGTCAGACCCCAAGGACCCAGGTAACCCATTGTACAGCAGTAATAATAAGCATATATTTATATGTATATAATGTAAGACCCAGGAAACACATTGTACAGCAGTAATAATATATACATATATTTATATGTATATAATGTCGAGGTTCCATAAATTTCTCAGAATATTTTGAATCCTAACTGAGCCCCCTCCAATGAATCTATAGATATTGAA